GTGACTAATAAAGTTTTGTAAAAAATATATCTATATATATATATCAATAATCACATTAGTTTTATAAAGACATGGTCAATTTTAACATTTATTTAATATAATTAATGCCCTTGACTATATATTTGATCTCAATATTGTTCCTTCTTATTTAAATTCTGAGGCGAGTATATTTGATTGAGCATTAGAGCCAATGGAATGGAGACCATTGGAAGTTGGAGCTTCATACTGATCAATGGATATATAAAGCTTGACTTGTAATTGAGATCAGGCTTTTTTAAGTTTGTGGTGCGTTCAATTGCATTGTAGGTATAAGATATAACTTGGGTTAGAGTTTGTGAGATTTTCAATTATGCCTTCTAACTGTCCGATTCATTGTTTAATAGAAAGTGAGTATTCGGTGGTAGTGTTTTCACATAGGGTTTTCCAAGAGTTTTGATTGTTCCTTCTTTTTTATGATGAGATTGATAAAGCATATTGTTGAATTGCTTGATCGATGGTTTGGTTAATTGAATAGTTGTCTAATTAATTATTGAATTTTCTTGAAATCAATTAATCTCTTGATATCTGTCTTGATCAGTTAAAATTGAAAGTGATATTTTTAATTGACCTACTCATCCTCTCCAGGGTTAATTATTGTCATTGTGATTGTTTCACCTTGCTCTGATATTTCTGTATTTTTTGTAACTGAAATGTTACTTCAAAGAAGTGTTCGCGTTATGTTGATGGAATCTGATCCCAATAGGAAGGGAATAAGGGAAGAGGGTAGGTCATACAATGGTGAGATTCGAATTTAGACATCACACTTGACGAGAGAGTGAACTATGCCAACTACAATAACACTACGTGCTTAGAATTTTTATTCATAATTTTACCTAGAAACATTACCATGTGATTTAGATTCATTCTGCATATAGATCGAGGGTTAGAGTTTGTGAGACTTTCAATTATGCCTTCTAACTGTTCGATTCATTGTTTAATAGAAAGTGAGTATTCGGTGGTAGTGTTTTCACATAGGGTTTTCCAAGAGTTTTGATTGTTCCTTCTTTTTTATGATGAGATTGATAAAGCATATTGTTGAATTGCTTGATCGATGGTTTGGTTAATTGAATAGTTGTCTAATTAATTATTGAATTTTCTTGAAATCAATTAATCTCTTGATATCTGTCTTGATCAGTTAAAATTGAAAGTGATATTTTTAATTGACCTACTCATCCTCTCCTGGGTTAATTATTGTCATTGTGATTGTTTCACCTTGCTCTGATATTTCTGTATTTTTTGTAACTGAAATGTTACTTCAAAGAAGTGTTCGCTTTATGTTGATGGAATCTGATCCCAATAGGAAGGGAATAAGGGAAGAGGGTAGATTGTACAATGGTGAGATTCAAATTTAGACATCACACTTGACGAGAGAGTGAACTATGCCAACTACAATAACACTACGTGCTTATAATTTTTACTCATAATTTTACCTAGAAACATTACCATGTGATTTAGATTCATTCCGCATATAGATCGACAATACACCAATTAAATCTTAACCACACTTCATCTTTCATAGTAATTTTCTTCATGTTAAGTAGACTTTTCCATGCCAACTCCTTCTATGTCTCTCATTTTTCTTTGTTTGTTTGTTTCGTCTATGGTACAACACACACAGACACATTTCATATATATATATATATATAAGATATTGGAAAAATTACAAATCAGTGGTACAGTGAAAAAATATTTACATTTTTATGGTGGTGTAAATTTCCTGTGTGTGGTGCAAGTCTTTCCTGTGTCCGAGTTGCTATAAATTTCATTTGTGTATGGTGCAAGTCCTTCATGTGTTTAGTGAAAGTCCTTCTCAGAGTTGCACTAAAAAAGATTTCATCTATAGTACAATTATTTTTCGTTGTCCCATTTATTTGCAATTTCTCCTACGATACATGTGTGTATGGAAGACAACCTTTTAGGGGACTCAGGAGCTTGACAATGAAATGGTGGATAGGAATGACACGAGAGTACAAAATTGTAAGTAAGTTGCAGAATAATATGTAGGTATAAAGTTTTCTAGATCACTCAATCTAGAGGTTCCCAGTGAAGCTGGAATATAAAGAAAGAACCCAACCCCTTCATCATGAAAGTGATTCTCTGTCTTAGTGGTTGTGCTTAAAAGAAGGAATCCTATTCCATTACTAGAGGATATATACATATCTTAATATCTATATGTTCAATATAATAATGAATTCTATTAGTTTTAAAAGCCTCTACTTTCCAAGCTGGATCTCATATTATGCTGATAACCTGCGACTTGTTCCCACCTACCTATCAGTTTATATCCTTTGTATGTAAATAATTGAATGAAAGTGCCATTTTGTTGAGTGGTTTGGTCATAATTATATACTTGTTCAGCAACATAAAGATTCATTTTCACAGTCTGGACCACTGACATGGACCACATTCGATCTAACAAAGGCCTTTTGCATAAGATACTATGAAATTAGATTTAGAATTTGAAAATCTCTAATCTTGTATTAAATGCACTTTCAAACGTATGATAAGAAATACATTCGGGTCATAAAAACATGAATTTTAGAGACAGAGGATCTCGTGTCATGAGATGTAACCCATAACCCATCTTTTTCCAAGCAGAGCAGAAATTTTCAACCCTTTGCATTAACTGGAGAAATCTTAACATATGAAAGTCAACCTTATTGTAACTTGGGCTTTCAACATTGGAATTCCACTATATTTACAATTTACAGCCAGGAAAAGGTACTTGAATTCAGCCAAGAATTTTTTGTCCTCAATTTTCTCTGTTTTTTTGTCTTAATGCATTCTTAACCATTCATTCGATCATGTAAGAATCTTAAAGTATATATTTTTCGAAAAAATAATGTTTGAGGGCCCGAAATGAGTGGGTCGAATTTGGCTCAAAACCCAAAACGACGTCGTTTTGGGTTTTGAGCCAAATTCGACCCACTCATTTCGGGCCCTCAAACATTATTCTTTCGAAAAATATATACTTTAAGATTCTTACATGATCGAATGAATGGTTAAGAATGCATTAAGACAAAAAAAAACAGAGAAAATTGAGGACAAAAAATTCTTGGCTGAATTCAAGTACCTTTTCCTGGCTGTAAATTGTAAATATAGTGGAATTCCAATGTTGAAAGCCCAAGTTACAATAAGGTTGACTTTCATATGTTAAGATTTCTCCAGTTAATGCAAAGGGTTGAAAATTTCTGCTCTGCTTGGAAAAAGATGGGTTATGGGTTACATCTCATGACACGAGATCCTCTGTCTCTAAAATTCATGTTTTTATGACCCGAATGTATTTCTTATCATACGTTTGAAAGTGCATTTAATACAAGATTAGAGATTTTCAAATTCTAAATCTAATTTCATAGTATCTTATGCAAAAGGCCTTTGTTAGATCGAATGTGGTCCATGTCAGTGGTCCAGACTGTGAAAATGAATCTTTATGTTGCTGAACAAGTATATAATTATGACCAAACCACTCAACAAAATGGCACTTTCATTCAATTATTTACATACAAAGGATATAAACTGATAGGTAGGTGGGAACAAGTCGCAGGTTATCAGCATAATATGAGATCCAGCTTGGAAAGTAGAGGCTATAATTTTATTATTGTATAGGTGAACAGTGAAACATTTCACTCTTTTAATTAATTCTGTTAAATAAAAAATTCTGACAATGAGGTATTTATAATTTTCCAAATCACAAGGGACAATTCGTATTTTTAACAAATCTCAAATGGTGTATTTATAATTTACCCTAAAATTTAACTTCAACGAATTTTATTTTGAAGATTTAGCACATAATTGGAGTTTTTTTTTATTATTTTATTTGACATTTTATGATGTATAATTAAAATTAACTTTAGGTTAAGGATTTGGAACATCATTAGTTATATTCTAACATGTATACCATTAGAAGAATCTCTTACAATTTAAACAAATAAGCCTTCATATGTCAATAAGTAAATAAAGATGAAAATATTCATGTTATTTGATACAATTTTTTTGGAGGACTATTATAATGGTTATTATTTTACTTCAAATTTGTTTTGCTTTAAATTTTTTTAAACTCTTTTACAAGTCCCTGCATTAAAATAACGAAAAAAAAATGACAGCTTCTTTTTATTATGCCAAATTTGGTATTAAGATATACCAATTAGTAACTCAATTTTGTAGGTTTGAAAGGACCACAACTGCATACTACCTTTTAGCCTTAAAAAGTGCCATGTCAAGTTTGACAATTTAAGTAAAGACACTAAGTTAAGGTTAAAATAATTTTTTTTTAGTCTAATGTTTATTCATCACAGTATAAAACTTATATATGATTTTAATATTCAAATATAAAATATTAAATAGAGAAAATAAAAGATTAAGTAAATGATTTGACTCCTTTCATACTTATATCTCAATAAAAAAAGAATAGAGGTATGTTAGTGCTTTTTGGGTTGAATAATGTTTGAGGGCCCGAAATTAGTGGCTTAAATTTGGCTCAAAACCCAAAACGACGTCGTTTTGGGTTTTGATTTTTTTTTTTTTTTTTTCTTCTTCTTCCTTCCTCTTCTTTCTTTTCTTCTTCTTCTTCTTCTTCTTCGTTTTGAACTTGAGAAGCAGAGGCGAGAGAGAGGGAGGAGAGAAAGAGGTGGGAGCTCGTCGTCGGTCGCCGGCCAATCGTCGCAGCTCGTCGGTCGTCGGTCGATCGTCGCCTCTGCCTCCGCCCCCCTCCGCCTCTGCCTCTGCCTCCGCCCACCTCCACCTCCGCCTCTCTCCGCCTCCGCCTCCGCCTCCAGCCCTATTTTTAGGGCCCCCTCCAGTTCTGCTTCTCCTTCTCTTCTTCTTCTTCTTCTTCTTCTTCTTCCTCCTTCTTCTCAAATTCGAGCCAAATTTGGCTCGAAACCCTTTCGGGCTCTGTAGCAGAGCTGTTTTCGAAATATATTCCAAAATGATTGAGAGTGTATTGCAACAGAGACTAAAAATTTATAGACAAAAAAATCTCGTGCCTTTCAATTCCCTTCAAATTGGAGAAATCACAAGAAGAAAAAGTCAACTAGCAGTTTTATTTGCTTCCAGCATTGGAATTCATTTCCACAAACTGCTCTTCTTCATTCTACAGCAACATCAGAAACCATGCCAAACAGTAGATCACCCATTTCCCTGCAAAACCATCGTAGTCTAAAATTATTGAAACATCAAAACATCAAAGACATCAAAATCTGTAAAAAAAAAAACACATTAAGCAGAGGAAACAAAACATAGATCAATACCGGTCTGCATGGCAGTAGTACTAAGCCATGGTTCCAAGATGCTGCGAAGAAACAATCTGTTGTCGTATTCAACCCACTAGGACAGTTGCACACAAATGAATTGTAAGTTCCAGAATACCCACAAGCTCCATTACTCCTCTCGCAATTCTCACAATTCGTTACCCACAAGCTCCATTACTCCTTTCGCAATTCTCACAATTCGTCGAAAATTCGTTGTTGTAATTGAACTTGTATTTAAGCGCCACCCCATATTGCCAACTCGCGGGATCATCGTTTTTCCCTCCAAAATCGTATATGCCGGAGTACGAAGTGCACTGCAATTTCTGCAAATCCATTTCGAATGATGGCCCAAGGTCCACTGGAGTGTAAACACAGCATGTGGCGACAGGGGTATCGAGCCTGCTGACAGCCTGACATGAAAAAAGCAGGCTACAAACGGCAGCACCATTCGTGTCGCAGAGAGGAACTGTGGCAGTGCTGTTGTTTCCGGGATTGGTTTGTATATGGGCGATGAAGTTGTCGAGCAGTCGAGCAATGCGAAGGTGTTGTCGTCGTGGAAGCTGAACCGTGATTGGTTTTGTATATGGGCGATGAAGTTGTCGAGCAGTTGAGCAATGCGAAGGTGTTGTCGTCGTGGAAGCTGAAGGGAGCGTTCCAATCGAGGCCGAAGCCTTTGCTGGGCTGTGAGCAAGAGCAGGTTGACATGGAAGGGTCTGTGATGTAGAGGACTTGGTTTGTGTAGTCAATGGACGTTACAGGGTAGCAGCCAGTGTGGGTTGAGAAGGTGAGTTGGTCCTGACTGCAAGTTTTGTGAGTTTGGAACCTCGGATCGCCGCATCCAGGGCCTGTGCCAAATGGGTATTTGATGGGTTGTTTGCCACAGGTTCTTTGGCAAGTTTGGCTTAGGATTAATTAGGGGAAGAGTGTGAGAGAAATAAAGAAAAGAAGAGTCATGGAACAATGCTTGAGCTTCATGTTTAAGAGAGAGAGAGAGAGAGAGAGAGGTGAGATGTGTAAAATTTAATGTATAAAGAGAAATAGAGAGAGAATAAATTGTATGTATTATTGATTGTATTGAATATGTTTACAATGATTCCTATATATAGAAGAGTAGAGTATGTAGGTGTGTAGTAGGTGGAGTAGGTGGTAGTAGGTGGTAGTGGTAGTAGGTGGAGTAGGTGGAATTTTAACAGCCCCCCTCAAACTCAAAGAGGATAAACAGAAACCAACTTGAGTTTGGAGAGAGTAACAAATAGGAAAATAAAAGGACAATAAAATAAAATAAGATAGGAGACACTGTATGGTTGTGTCAAATCGTTGTGGAAGACATGGAATGGTCGTGTCACACCATTGGAGAAGATAATGCCTGGACAGTTCACGAGGTCACACCGGACCGATGTAGAAGCTAACCGGAATCAATGTCGGGACAGTTTATGGGGTCATGCCGGACCGTTGGAAACGCTAACCGGAATCAATGTCGGGACAGTTTTATGGGGTCATGCCGGACCGCTGGAAAAGCTAACCGGAATCAATGTCGGGACAATTTTATGGGGTTATGCCGGACCGCTAAAAAGTCGCACCTGCAAAAGGTGAGCCCAATCTGTCAAAAGGCGTGTCATCAAAAGGCGTGCCCAATCCATAAAAAGGTGTGCCGAACATTATGGCTTGCGCGTGACTACCTTGGCTTGCGCGCCCATGTTGTCGTCTAGCACCGAGCGGCGCACGATGCGCGTATCTGCCTTGGCTATTTAACCAAGACGGAGGCTGAGGCTGAGACAAAAACCTGCTAAAAACCTCTGAAAAACTCGTCGTTGTCTGAGAGAGATACTTTGTAACACTCTGTTGCTCAGAAAATGGCCTCTTCTTCCCGTGGTCTGCTCACGCTCTTTCCAGATCTTAACGAGTCCACAAGAGAGATAACTGGTGCGGTTGCCCTTGAACCTCAACCAAGCGCCCCTGAGTTTGCGCCGTTGACCTTTCCTATGCGGTCTGTGGAGCAAAGAATGACAGCAAAATCAGATATTGAGGCCAATCAGTATACATTGAAGTTATGTGTGGAGACGATGACGGCAGTCACAAACTTGTCGCACTGGCTTCAGAGTAGGACAAATGAGGTGCAGCAGTTAAACGCCCAACTGGCTCTGCTCCAACGCATGTATAAGGATGCGCGAGCAGAGATATGTGTGCTAAAAGCGGAAAACAAGGATCTGAAGCGGAAGGCCACCGTGATGTTCCGATTTGGAGGTCCGCCATATGCGGCAGTGGAGGAGCAGGGGGGAGTGAACGTGCTCGGCGGCGTGGGAAACACAGAGGCAGCACCGTCAAGGGCTGCCCAGGACATAGGCAAGAAGAAGAGACCGGCGGCAGAGCAGAGAAGAAAAATCCCGCTTGTGGATGTGGTTTGGGTTTTGTTGTTTGTTTTTTTTTTTTTTTTTGGTGGAAAATGGCGATCGGGGTGAGCCCCGACATGAATAAAATGAGTTTGGTGTGCAGTGCTTCTGCTTCTTTCTTTTTTTTTCTTTTTTTTTTTTTGTGGAATGAAAATAAAAGAAAATTGATAAAAATCAAAAGTGGTTGGAATGTACAAATATATAGATATAGATAGAAAATAAAAGATAGTTGATGAGAAGGATGGAACCCGGAGTAATAATAATAATAAGAATAATAATAATAAAATGGATATCATGGAGGGATGATGCTCACCAACGGAGAGAAATAATAATGAAATTTGTTTTGTTTTGTTTTTTTTTTTTTATAATAAAAAAAAATAATAATAATAAATAAATAAATAAAATAAAATAAAAAAAAGAAAGTGGAGCAACGTATACAAAGACTCTCCTAG